AACCTGGGGTAAACAACAAAGTTTATTTTGTATAACAAAGGTTGCGGAAATAGAATCAAACCAATATTGGCAACAATTATTGTATAACAAAAACGCTAAACTGTTGTATAACATTTTTTGCAACTATTGGAAACTAAGCTTAAGTCGAACGTTTTTCTCCAAAAAAATAAAAGCATTTTTAGTGTTTTTGTACGCTTTTTTGTTGTATCTTTTCTTTTTGTTGTTAGTTGTATGCATGGTTTTTGATTCTAATATAAAATTTTTTTTTTGTATTAGATTAGTTTTTTACATAATCATTTTTCTTTGATTGAAACAAAAACTTATTATATGCGGACGGTTTTAAATCCGAGTACATTCTACAAAAGCTAACCTTTATACTTTAGAATTTTTGTTTAAATTGCAATTGTGCAATTTTTGTCCGCCCCAGACAATTCTATAAATTTTTTTTAAAATGTTGTTATTTATTGTCTATATTTAAAAATGGGGTATACTCCCCCATTTTTAAATATAGACAATAAATAACAACATTTGACATAAAATGATTATCCATATCATAAATGTAGAAAATGAAAAAGGAAAAAAAAAAAGTTGGTCAACGGTTTCTGCAGTAACCGTAAAAAACCCCTAAAATAAGCAGAAAATAAGATTTACGCTGGCCAAGTTTTAGCAAAAACTAATAAAAAAGGCTGAAGGAAACTTTGAAAACACAATTAGAATAGGTTTAAGAGTGTTTTAAACAAAACAGATTTTTTTAAAAAAGTTCTGGGCCTGAAGACTTATGATCTAAAGTTGACAATAGAAAAAAGTGCATTTTTCGAAAAATTAAATTAGCTATACTGTTTTATTCATAAGTATTTCAAAATTCTGTTCCATTTAAAACACAGCTTTTATAAAAAGGAAAATTTGTTGAAAATTTCGATAAAACGCGCAAGCGGTTCTCTTGGAATTTTGGCCGGCATATTAAAAAAAAACCTCAAACTGAGAAAACGCACAAAAATTGAAAATAAACGATAAAAGATCTACAAATATATGTAACATTATATATTGGACTATATTTAATATTTAAAACCTCCTCCTTTATGTTTTACTTTCTTTTTCAGAGGTTTTGTCACTTTTCTTCAGTTTTTTAGCCCTAAACTTTTGACGATGTAACTTGTTATGGGAGTTTAGTTTATAGATCGACGATTTAATGCGTGTTTTATTTATGTCGATAGAACCGTTTAGTGTATAAAAACCTGGAAACATGCTCAGTTTTTCATATATTAGAATTGAAGACTTCATCCCAATGTTAAAAATGGCAAAAGCATCATAAACACCAAACTTCAGCAAAGTCAGCGAGACATATTTCGTTTTCGGTATGCGATCCCAAATTTTCACATAGAAAAACTCATTTGCATTTTGCGTTTTACCGTGCAGACATTTTTTAAGCTCATCTTCTTTTGTGAGCTCTTCAAACACAGGTCTAATCTTGTATACAACGTCTAAAGGTAGACCAGGTCCTGACTTGTAGGCGTTAGTGCTATTTGCTTTGTCTCTGTTAAATTTACACCAACTACTTACACCTGTTGGACAATGTGGATAGTGCCAATTATTTGCTTTTGATGATGCAACGTGAAAAAGAGTAGCAAGCGCTGCTAATTTCATGGCAATTAAATTACCAGTATTCTGTCTAATTCCAGAAGGAGCACCCTCTGCATACTCAACTCATCACCTCAACATCTAAAACTTTTCCACTGTCCATTGAAAGTACTGCAAATACACCATTCAATAATGAAAATCCCCTACGTTGCCACGTGCCATCACATGATACACCAACATCAAGAATCTCATTATTGTCTTGACACTGTAGTCTTAAATCAGATACAGCATCAGTCATTGTTTCCAGAGCAACTTCCTCTGTAATATTAGTAATTTTTAAAACAGGTTTGTCATAGTTTTTTGGCGTCATTGGTTTTGGCATGTTCATGAGGGTTGTAAACCTTTCAATTTCGGAATGTCCGAATCCAAGAGTCGTCGTTGCATAAACTGTTCGATTGTGTATTTCAAAGTTTCCTTTTTTGTTAACTAACTTAGAAGTGTGAAAGTTATTTTGATATTTACACTTTAAACAAATAATAGAAAGTTCACATGCAAGTCCTTGCTTTTTGCTTTTGTTTTCAATAATTGCTAAAGTCGTTTAGAAACAAGTTGGACAGCTCAAAATGCTAACGACATCAGAGAAAACTGAACAATCAATAATTCTATATCCTGTCAGAACTTTGTTTTTAGTATTGGTATATTTTTGTGGATTTGAGCTAATGACTGCTTCAAATTTGCGAAAAGAAGAGCTTGGCGTATCGAAGATATCAGTTTGACTATTTACAGATTCGATATTTACACTTAAAGTAGGAAAATTTACATTATTTACACTCACACTGCTACTTATCACTTTTCTATTAAAAATCTTCTTTCATTTTTCCTGCTCGCTTAGTTCTAACTTTAATTCGATCAGCCTTAGCCATGTCTGAAAACTAAAAAATTTAAAATTTCTGGTAAGAAAATGCGACAAAAAATAGGCTTCAAAACAACAAAACGAACTTAGTCTTCATATACCAAAAATAAAGTGCTAACAAGGTAAAGTGCTAACAAGAAGCAAAAAATGCTTTTAACTTGTGAAATCAATACGTTGTTTTGGTTTACAAGTGATTTTTTTAGGGGTAAAAAATTTTCTCTTTTTTGTACCTAACTCTCAAAAACAAAAAATTTTGGTATTTAGAGATATTTTTAGGTAAAACGATTAACATTTCTGAAAACCCCATATATTTAATTGTTTAAATCAGTTTTTTTTTTTTTTTTTGATTTTTAAAAAATTTCTGGGGGAGTATACCCCTTAATTAAGTTTTTAATTCATTTTTGTAATAGCTGTTTTTGAAACTTCGACTAATTTACATTTCGTTTTTTTTACATTATAAATTAGATTTTAAGAGCTAACGTTTAAAACGTAATACGTCACATTAAAATTAAACTAAAAAAAAATTAACATTAATGAGTTTAGCAATATAAAAAAAAAATGTTTATAAATTATTTGAAAGTTAAAGGATATGGCTGCCTCCACTGAATGAAGATATTATGCTCTTCAAGATATATAAGCCTATTTATATATACACATACAAATTCTTTTTTATTGATTAAAAAGTGGACAAGATACATTATGCATGAACCAAATGAACAAACATATTTTAAATTAAATAAACGATGCAATTTCTCTCTTAAAACATGCCTTGTACGTATATTTTAGGATTTTTTAAAAGTTTTAGATTATTCGGTGTTGTTTGGTATGTATGTTTGTTTAAACAAAAAAATAAACATCAAGTCAATATTTTTTTTTAGTTGCACTATTAGTAAAATCTCCCACCTTTTTGATTTTCTCTCCTCATTTCTTTAAAATTCCTTTGAAATGTTTTATTGCAACTTTTTGAGACAAATTACGTTTTTATTGTCAGTTCCTCATTTACTAACATTATTAAAATTACCTGTTGGTTTTGTATACTCAAAAAAGAGTTAGTTGTCATCACTGAGCTAAATGTTCCTGTCATTCCAGAAACAAGAAGGACACCTATTACCATCCAAAATATTGAAAGAGCTCTACCGATCAGTGATTTTGGAGCAATATCACCATATCTGAATTAAATAATATTTTAATATTTTCAACAAATGTTACAAATAAGAAAAAATAAAATTAAAAATATATTAGGAAAAATTATACTTAACTATTCAAATAAAATGCTTTACAATAACAAATTTATGCAATTTTATTCAATTTCAATATAGGAGAGAGTTGGAAGATGTGGGACGTAGGAGAAGGCAGTCGAAAGTTTTTATTAGGGGGAGGCCTTTAATTGCTATTACCTAATATAGTTAAGAAACAGTCATCAAAGCTACCAATAAGATTTTTTCCACTCGATTTAGCAGATATTATTGTTTTGTTATTTACGTAAATTGACAAGTGATTTTCGATTTTTGTGAAAACGTTAATGCTTATATTATAAATTATAAATGCTTGGCGAGAGATGTAGTGTTCTTGCCTCTTAGCAAAATCTTTATGTAGTGTTCTCGCCTCTTAGCAAAGTCTTTATGTAGTGTGTAATTAATTTTTTACATATATATGAGCGGCCGCGATAAGAAATAGAAAATTGAGATTTTTTTCGTCTTTTCCGGGGAACAATAAAGTTACCAGTTGCTTGTCTGTTAAATTTGTTGATATTAGATTGAAAGAAATTTTCTGTAAACCGGTTTGGAACTAATCCTAACTTGTATATTAGCATGAAAATTATGTTAGCATAGTTATTAATTTCGTAAATGTTTTAGCTTTTTTTTTAACTGCATATTAATCACAATTTTTTTTACACTGCGATAACGTGAACAAGATACACTTCCAATAAAAAAATAATATTTTACAAAATACCGTTAAGATAAATATAGGAAATAATAATTAAATATACTATGACTTGAGGTTTTAATTGTTGTAGGGAACTCTTAGAAGACTGAGTTTAGTCTAATCATCGAAACCTTAGGGTATTGCGTAATGTACACATATAAACATTGTGATTCTCATAAAAAAAATATTTTAAATGTTATAGATGTATACTTTTTATTCTTTTTTATTATACTATGTATGGTGTTAGTGTTGTGGTTTATAATAATATTATTGTGTAAGTGAGAAGAATTTTGGAAAATGGTCTGATATATCAATTTTAAATACTCCTGTTTTTAAGGCTATGTCTAAAAATGAGTTGGTCAGTATATTATCTATGTCTGTAATTTAGGTTGAGGTGACTCGGGTGCGTTTGTTAATTAGTGAGAATTAGTGAGAATAAAAGCTTGAAACATTAACATATAATTAGAAAAAATGGAAAGACTGTTGATGTATAATATTTTAGTTTCAATTTGTAAGTGTATAAAATTTAATAACAACTAGGTAGGGTAATAATTTCATACTTGATACAAGTATAAACATACCCAAATTAAAAGTCTAAAAAGATGTTTTACATTTTTTATTTTTGCAGAAAAAGTACTATTTACTTGCATGATGAATTAGACAGCACTCACCATTGCATTACGTTAAATGCGGCAGGGCTCAAGTTGAGCCGGAACGAAGCGGAACGCCGTTCCGGTTGTTAACAAAAAAAGTGAAAACGTTCCACATAATAAAAAAGTACTTTGAAACGCCAGAACGGCAAATTTTGGTTAACGTTCTGGAATTTTTTGAGTTGAAAACTACGTGTTCCAATAGGGAAAGTATAAGAGAAAAAGTTCATACGTCTTTACAAAGGTCTTAGAGTTAGTGATTTCAGAACTTTAAACGAGTTTTAGTAGTGGTTTTAGTAAGTTAATTATTATTTTGATTTTAAAACACTTAATGAGGAGTTTTTGTAAAAAACAAAACTAAACAATGACTTAATTGCTTTTCTTAATAAATATTTTATTACGTATTAAAAGTTTTAGAAATTTTAAATTAAAACATTAACATTTCAAGTTTTATCACGTTATTTTACTTAAAAATATTACAGTGAATAAAGCTGTAAAAAAACTTTTTGCTCGTTTATTATTTCCTAATGTTATTTTTAGCACGCACAATGAAGTCGACTCAAACAAAATTAAAACAGTTTTTTAAAACTGCAGGGTAAGTCAAACAACAATTACCTACAACTAATAAGCCAGTTTGGTGTTTGAAATGCAAATGCACCTACTTGCTCCCACACAGGCATAACCTAACGATAAAACGGTATTTGTCCGTACCGTTTACCACTATAATAAAGATTGTTTAAGTGTAATAGACTAAAAATTAACCTATATCAAGTAAGTAAGCCAAGTTAAGCTTGGTTAATGATATTGCTTTTATGTTTAGCGGGCCTGAATCAAACCAGACAACAGAATCTAGCATTAACACCAGTGGCAGTTTATTAACTTCACAGTCTAGTGACAGCAGTGGATCAAAACACACCTGTGGCAGTTTATCAAGTTCAGGCAGTGGATCCGAAAATACCAGTGCCCCTGGATTCAGTCTACAGTCAAGTAGCAGTGAGTGTTGCTCACTTCCTAATGCCGGTAGTTATGTCCATACCAATACAGTACGAACCACGTCAAGTTCAATGCCAATATAAGTCCAGTTAATATACATGTGTTCTGTAATAACAATGAGGCAGAATTTTATATATGTTTCCAATATGAAACTGCAATTTTCTCGCTCGTAACAAAACTTCTTTTCTTTCTAAAAATTGGTATTGTGGTTTATTCTCCTCCAGCTAATTGCCATATAGAGGCCACATTACCAAGGCCCGCAAAGACAGGTTCGGCTCCCCAAGGAGCGTCATAACCCGCTCTACGGACCAAGAGTAAAGTGAGTTTAGGAAAAACGAAGATATGTTAGAGTGAAAGACAGAAGTAGTCGTGTTAGAAAGATAGCATAGAGAAAGCAGACAGAATTGCACTCGATGTTAGGAGGTGCAATAGATTGTAATAGGTTCTTTCCAAAAATTTATTTATTAACTTGAATTCAACTCATCTTACAAAAGTTTTACATCCATTTATATAATATATTTACCCACAAAATCAACATTACAAAAACTGCTTAATACATAAATACATTTGAAATAATTAAAAACTATTAGTAAAAGAAACCACGTAATTGCCTTAAAATGTCCTAGAACTTTCTCCACTTTATTTACAGTACAAGCCACGTCATACCACGTCATACTGCTTAATGCCAGTAGTTATGTCCATACCAATACAATAGTACAAGCTACGTCAAGTTCATTTCCAATTTAAGTCCAGTTAATATACATTTGTTATGTAATAATAATAAGGCAGAATTGTATATAAGTTTCCAGTATAAAACTTAGTGCTTTACTAAGAAATATTGCTTTTTATATGCAAAGGAAACCCGAAGAAGAAGTTGTGAATGAAGAAGTATCTAATCTTGAAGGTGATGCTAATCTTCCAAAGTGCTGGACTACTATAACATTCATAAATAAAAAAAACTTTATCCTAGGGCTGAAACTTGCAAGAGTGCTATAGATTGTAAAGTTTGTAGGAATTAGATAATTTTACTGGTTTTTTATCCAAACATATTTATTTATCACAAGAATGGGTTACTATATCTGTTAAACCTAATGGAATAAACAATGCAAAGCAATTACAGTCATTACGCAAAAAAATTGTGAACATAAGACAAAATTTGCTCATATAAGAGCAGAACAAATTCTTAAAAATGTTGATCATAATCAGCTACAGAAGAATTTTTCAAAAATGACTGATGTTGCCATTAAAACCACTAAAAAGGTTTTGCGTACAGCGTATAAAAATGCAAAATTAGGCCGCCCTTTTATCGATTTTCCTTTAGATATAGAATTAAAAACATTAAATGGTCTGCATATAGGCAGACTATTTAATGTTTACCATGTAGCAGATAATCTTTCCATGTAGCAAATGAAATGAGGAAAAAACTTGAGTCTCGAATTATCAATTTTGACATCAAATTAACAATACTAATATACAAATATATTACTGTTAGTGTTGATCAAATACTTGCGGTGCGTGCTTGACAAAAAACCAATTACATTTTTCCTAGAATTAGTGGAGTTACCATGCTCAAATTCAGAAAGTGTTTATAGTACATTGATATCCTCTTTAAGAAATCATGGCCTTACAAAACATTATTCTTAAAACTAAACTGGTTGCATTCTCCAGATGGCTGTTCCGTAATGTTAGAAAAAAATTCAGGCGTTGTAATGTTGCTAAGCAATGATTTCCAAAACATTTTAGTATGACACTGTATGACTCACAGAACTGATTTAGCTGTTGGTGATGTCATAAAAAAAGTGAATAAAGTTAATTACTTTAAGTGTTATTTTGAAAAAAATATATGCAAAGTATCATTCATTACCTAAAAATTGAAGAGAACTTTATGTTTGTACTTAGAAAATTCAATCTTGTCTGTAAGCAAAATTTAAGACTCACCTTGGGTCGCAACAAGCGTAGGGTCAGTTCGGGCAGTTTAGATTTCCTATATTGCCCTGTTCAAACATTGCCAAGAAGCAGCCAAGGATAATTGTAGACCAAAGCGCATTAGAAAAAGCTTTGAGGGCTCGTCTTTACAAATGAGAACTTCAAATTTTGTCCTGAATTTAATTGTAATGTACAATGTCTTAAGAAAGTTATTGGCCTTTTCATTAGATTTACAAAGACGGGACATCAGTATTTCTGAGGCCCAGAATATAATTATGCGACAAATACGCATTTTTACTTCCTTTGCTGTATATCCTGGGCTTTACCCAAATGAGGCGAAGAATCTATTTTGCTCATAAACTTTAAAACTGTTCCCTTGACAAGAAATAAGAAATGTGATGTAATTATCAATGAGAAACAGTTTATGAGGTCATTAGCAGTTAATTTGGAGAAGAGACTGTTGACAAATTATGGACCCAATATGTATTAATAAGTTTATCCAAGCCGTTAATATTATAAATCCATCTGCATGGCCAACAAACTGCCCATTATCTTATGGCTCAGATAAGTTGAAACTGCTATGCAATACATTTGCGATTGCCTTTTCTGAGTCTGCTCTTGGACTTAGAACCTATATTGACCAATGTCAGGTTCAAGTGTTATCCGAAAATTTA